CACACACACACATATGTATATATATATATATATATACATATATATATACATATATATATATATATATATATATATATATATATATATATATATACATATATACATATATATATATATATATATATATATATATATATATATATATATATATATATATATATGTATATATGTATATATATATAAGGTATATGAATGAATGAATATCTTCACAATAAAAGAGACGTATTTAGCCAGATTTAAATAAATCATCAGAAACACATACATCAGCGAAACCCCGGAGCATATATGAGTCAGACCTGAGCTGACGAGCCAGCTGACGCCCGTGACCTGCCGCTCGTTTCCGCATAATTGCTGCCGCGACCTTGGATCGTTTGAGCCGCCCGATGCAGTGTTTACAATTTTCTCAGTCGCGATGATAGCAGTTTGCATGTTTTTTTTCTGTTTGTTCAATCTCTCATGGACTATATCTGCTTCCTTCCAGTCCAGCAGATGTCCGGCTTCATCCGCATGCACGATCATGGGGTTGAAGTCCTGCGGTGACGGACTTCAGCTCGATGTTTGCTGAATCGTTGATTCTGCAGCAGATGCTTAGTCGCATCCGCTGCAGAGTAAGCGATAAACAACGCCGTCGGGTTTGTGGGCTGCTTTCTGTCTCGTATTATGTCATGTTTCTTTTCACCGGATGTGGCGGCGAGATTTATTATACTGCCATAGTACTTGCTGATCGCGTTGGAAACGTTACAGAGAAAATTAGAATCGGGTGCAAGATCAAATCTTGTAAGTATGTTCTCCGCCGTCTTTCTGGCTTTAGCAGGAAGCCTCTGGGATATTTATATATAATGAATGAATAAATTACATAGGCAACCTCAGGGAATTCATGGCTTCAGATCCTCAGTGCCCTGAGGAGAGAACAATCTTTTAATACTGTGGGTGGAGTAGTAGTGAATATAATCGTCTTTATGAGTGAGCTTTCTATACACAGAGAAAGTAGGCCGTCGCCACCCGAAGGATCGGAGCGGCCAGGGAAGGTCATTTCTGACTCTCTTCTTCCTCTACGGCGAACTGAATTTTCTCGTGGATGGAGTAGAGCTGTGTCAGCGTATGACGTAAGCGCGACATTATGGGGACGATGACGAGGACAACTACGTAACGAAACCAGGTAGAATATTTGTCAATTATATTCCCTGCAGTGATCCCTCTCCAGCGCCTCCATGACGAGGCGGGTAAGGTCTATTCTTAGAGGGGAGGCCTTGGCAAGACCTCTAATCTGTCGATATTCTTCTCTGCAGACTCGAAGTAGCCGGAAACCATGCATAACTTTCCCAGGCTCACGAATTTGTGTTTCGGCAGCTGAAGTTCATCATCTGTCATGGAGCTGGTGACCCCTCGACTGCTCGGATTGCTCCGTCTGTGGGCACATTAGTAAAGGTGGATTTTTAATGAAAACTAGCAATCTTCTTATTCCTGCACCCGGCATTCTGAGGGCGTCTGATGAGGTCACCGGAGTTCTTTAATGACCCCAATAATGCTAGAGAGCGGTTTAGCCAAGTACTTAGCCAGACGATGGGAAGCGCTGCCAATCCCAAAGGTGATCGGTCTCATGCTTACGCCTGGCTTGTGTACCTTTGGGAGACCTCTCCCTTGTCGACGTCCCTATCGGTCCAGCGGTGGTTCAAGATTGCGTAGACAATATATGTATATATATATATATATATATATATATATATATATATATGTATGTATATATATATATGTATATATAAATACATATATAAGTATATATATATATATATATATATATATATATATATATATATATATATATATATATATACATATATCTACACTTTATTGCAAGAGAATATCTGATTTGAATGTAAGTAAGATACACTGCAAACAATAACTGCAGAAGAAAGTGTGTATCATGCTAGCAGAGAGAGAGAGAGAGAGAGAGAGAGAGAGAGAGAGAGAGAGAGAGAGAGAGAGAGAGAGAGAGAGAGAGAGAGAGAGAGAGAGAGAGAGAGGGAGAGAGAGAGAGAAAGAGAGAGAGAGAGAGAGAGAGAGAGTCAGAATCAAAACATTCATTTAACCATAAAACTGTAACTATAGGACCCTCCGGGAGTACAGTTCTCCTGTATAAATTGTATTTATGATGTAACTTAAGAATAAATACATATATAACATATTATATGAGCGTCAGACATATATTACATATCGTATGGGTTAGAACGTATATTATACATTACATGAATATATACATAACTCATTTAGCAAATAAGGTTTTATCCTGACCGTTTACAAACCTAGTTCGAGAGTAAACCTTGTTGAAATATCACGAAGTGAAGCAATAAAAGAATGACAAATGAGGGAAGAGAAAGAACACAGGCAGAAGAAAGGACAATAATTATTTATGATACTGAGATAACAGGCATTATTGTAATTTGGTTTTGGATGAAGAAATTGTTGAGACATTTCATTTTGTTCCACAATGCCGCACGGT